TTAGATGGCAGAAAGCAAAAAGAAAAACTCATCATTCTTCTAATTGTAATTTTGTTCAAAGAAACTATGGATTTAAACACTTTAGTTATACCACAGCCATAAATTCAAACTGCCTATAGAAAGGTAGTTAGATTGGCAAAACTCTATAGTCAACCTTGGCCAAAAAAGATCACTTTTGTTTATACAAGTCCTGTGAAACACATATTCCATAAACTACCCTCCAAAAAATGAAAATAGTTACCCTACCAATAATATTAACAATTGTAAAAAACTGTTTACTCTTCCTCATACTTATTACTTTTCCCAGCTAGGACACAAATGACCAAGCCCAGGCCAATATAAATCTCCTTAGGGGAAGTCTTAGGCAATCAGAGTGCTCTGAAGGAAAGGCTTCCCTCCTTGATATACACAGAATATGGATAAGATATTTTCCACCCCCAACGCACTTTTTATTTTGCTTTTGGATGTGGATATGTAAAAACACAATTATGGAGTTGTGGCAATCATTTTGTGACCATGAGGGGACAAGGCTAAGTATAAAATCCATATCTGGGAAACTCAGAAGAAAACACTGAAAGGTCCCAGACCCTTGCTGGCACCAATGAGCAGCTTAATCAATGCCCTTCCTTTAAACTAAATAGTACCCTATTTAACAAGTATCCTTATTCTTTAGGTCATTTTAAATTGGGTATTCTGTTACTTGCAGCTAAGAGCATCCCAACTGACTCAATGCATCTATGACCCAATCAAGTGTATGCAAGGAAATTATTCAGGACAATTATCATTGCTTTTTCAAATTCAGAAGCATGAATAAAAAAAGGAAATATAAGGATCAAACACTGGAAGAAAAAGGTTCAGTTTTCATTTTCCCAGAGTAGATAAAAAAGATAATGGCCAAAAGTAAATATACCGAGTTATTTCCAGAGACTGTGCTTGATGAATTACCTTAGTTAATTGTCAAAACAAACTTAGGAAATATTTTCATTTTATAGAGGAGAAAGCTTAAGCTTAGAAAAGTTAAACAACTTGCCACGGCCACACTCCTCAATAGTGGCTGAGAAAGTATTCACAATCCACATCAATTCCCTCCAGAGTACAAGTACCTAATCTTTGAGTATAGCTGAAGATAAAGGCACGTATTTTTTTCTGTGAAGAAGAAATCTAAGACTTCAGTTAAGCTTCATAAGTACAAAAAGAAGGTAAAGAACTTGAGAAACAAGATTATAAGTGGGAACAACCACTGTTGTTTTACAATGGCAAAAAAGACTTCCTGAGATCACAAGCAATCAATGCTTGGAAAGAGGAAACAAATTACCAAAAGATGTACTGAAATTGATGGCAGTCAGTAATAAAACTCAAGTAACTCAGATCTTCTAATTTTCAAGTTAGGGCACTTTTCATTCGACCACACACTGTTTCCCCTTGAAACTGACATATTGTATCTCCAACACACATGGAGAAAAAGCAAAATGTACAAAGAGATAAAACTATGAAGGCTTACTAAGAAATATTTACAGTGTAGAATTCCCATACTCAATATTTGTTAGTTGATAAGCTTTGATGTGAACAAAAAGGCCAAAAAACTTTATGATGTGGATACACAGTAACAAGAAAAAATAATGAAAAAATTATTTTTTCAGGATATCTATACTTTTTTAAATGCTTCAAGAATCAGATTTTCTTATAAAGTACCCACACATTAAAAGTAGCTGATAATTCAGTGAACTTTTTCATTTCTTACTGAACTTTCTAAAAAATACATTTTTAGAAAACAATCTTAAAGAACTAAGCAAGCAGACTAAAGGAGAACTATGTATCACATTCTCCCTATAGCAGAGTAAACCAACTGAAAATTATTGTTAATTTCTCCTAACAATTCATGATTATTTAGGAATGCACTAGATTCCTGAATATTAACCCTGAATCATTTGACAATGCTCTATCTATACTCAAAAGAAAAAAAGATGGGAATAGGGAATGTGTACAATTACTAATATTAATACAAAGTACTAAAGGCCAAAGAGGGTAAGGAGACAGGAGAGGGTGGGTAGACAGGATCTGATACCGAGAAACTCAATATTTAGATTTTTAAGAACCACTTACTCTTTTTTCTCAGAAAGCATAATTTTCATGAATTAAGGTAACACATAAGAGTTCACTCATTTATCTTTAACTTTTCTATGAAATCTCAGGTCTCTAAAACAATATTAGGATAAAACCAAAACAAAGAACTGGCTTACTCTGCAATATCGAGATATCCACAAGAAGCAGCTGCATGTAGTGGTATCCAGCCTTCATTATCAGGTTGATTAATGTTTGCTCCATTTTCTACCAGAAACTTCACCATATCAACATTGTCATCAATGCAAGCCTAAAAACAAAACAGAAAGCATGATTGGAAAAAATCTGAATAAACACCCCAAATAATACATCAATAGAATAAAATTCCTACTTTGTAGCTTTTTTTTTTTAAGAGACAGGATCTCATTCTTTTGCCCAGGCTAGAGTACAGTGGCACCATTATAGCTTACTGCAACCTTGAACTCCTGGGCTCAAGCAATCCCTCTGCCTCAGCGTCCCAAAGTGCTGGGATCACAGGGATGAGCCACCACGCCTGGTCAGAAGCTATTTTTTCCTTTTTTAAATTTCAATAGATTTAGGGGGTACAAGTGTTTTTTGTTACATGGATGAACTGTATATGCTGAAGTTGGGGCTTTTAGTGTTATAAATATTCTCTATAAATTCATGTTCTGCTATCTTGACTGTACTGTCATCAAGTAGGCCACTAATACTAACTAAATTGTAACAGTCCTTGCTTAAACACACATATAACAGTACTGTACATAACTAGACTCTTTATGTCAACCCAATTAGCAAAACAAGCACATATTAAAATGAAAACAATCAAAACATTATAAGTAAGTACCAATAATATTCTCTATAGCACCAGACCTCAAAGTGTGGTCTGTTGGAGGGAGGGGGAATGCATGATCCTTTCACAGAGTTGACAAGATAAAAATTATTTTCAAAATAACACTGAGATGTTATTTCCCATTTTTACTTTATTGACATGTGCACTTGATGGGTCAAAAGTACTAGTCGTGGCCAGGCGCGGTGGCTCACGCCTGTAATCCTAGCACTCTGGGAGGCCGAGTTGGGTGGATCGCGCAAGGTCAGGAGTTCGAGACCAGCCTGAGCAAGAGTGAGACCCCGTCTCTACCAAAAAATAGAAAGAAATGATCTGGACAACTAAAAATATATGTATATAGAAAAATTAGCTGGGCATGCTGGCGCATGCCTGCAGTCCCAGCTACTCGGGAGGCTGAGGCAGAAGGACTGCTTGAGCCCAGGAATTTGAGGTTGCTGTGAGCTAGGCTGA